TCGTTATTCTCAAGGTTGCTTTTATGGATAACATATAGATATCCATTGTCTAGGCCTACTACTCAGCCATTTATGAAATGACTACAGAAGAGGTATCATCACTGATGACTAAGCTGATTGGCTCTAGTGCAAGTGGGAGATTGTTGGAAATGTGCCCTAAAACCAATCATATGATGATACTTTATGGACATTTCACATGTTAAACTAATCTAGTTTAATATTAAGGGCAAACATTATTGTTTGAGCCGTCTCATATAAATGTTATATGCTTAAACGATAAGTCCAAGGAATATGTGATTGGAAGAATGCGATCTAAAGAAGTTGGATTCATGAGACCATTCTTTCGTTGACACATCCTAAACGTTCCTGATCATAGGATTGTCAATTGGGCATTGACAGTCCGTTAAGATCAGTACGTGCTATGTCTTCTCTCGGGGAGAGTGACTAGTCTCGAGTCATTGGTGTGTGTGACATCAAGACAAGTACGTAGGTGCTCAATAGAGAATGAGTTCACTGAACACGATCAACGAAGAGTTCTCATATTCATGTCACATGAGAACTCATGGTTGGGATAATGCAAATTAGTCTTTTGACCTGAGGCATCACAGTTGTCTTGTGGTTAGGTCCTTAATATTTGATTATGTCAAAGTCACTCCATCAGGAGGGTGTCCATGGCATCGTTGGGGTTAAGCCACTTAGCCATGGAGGCAAGTGAATGCGCAACAAGGGATCTCTAACCTTCAAACTGTTTGAGGGAGAATACTCTATGATATGATTAAGAATCTTTGGCCAAAGTATGAATGAGATTTAGGAATGTGTTCCAAATCACATTCAAGGTAATCATATAAGCACAAGACTCACATTGGATAGTAGACATGAATAAACTATCAAACCAAACAATGTGGTCAAGAGTATTGTATTAGAGAAAGACCGTATTGCATTTGTAATCCTAAAACTGAATAGGTTCTCCACCTCTTTTGATTAGCTTGGGTAACCATGACATGCTGCTAGGCGTCAACCATGGTTTGTGGAAGCCCTAAAAGTGTATTATCACTAACGGGAGAATTGAAAGTAAGTTTCAATTCACAATCGATTAGAAAGAGTTTTAATCGCCCAGTGCCTCGCTAAAAGGAACCTAATGGATCGTTCACCGAGTAAGGTAGAGTTTGAAGAAACAACGGAGATGAGTAAGAATAATTAAATGGTTTAATTATTTATCTAAGGCTAGGATTAATTAATATGTTAATTAATCAAACGAATAAGTTCGTTAAAGACCTCGGGTTAGTTTTGGACCGCAAGGCCCAATGGGATTTGAATGTCAAGCCCATTAACTCAAGTTGTATGACAACTTGAATAAACAAAGGGCTTGAAAGCCCAATAAACCCTATAGGCTTGCCATGTTAGAAGAATAGGGCTTTTGGTCCATTAGGTCACTTATTTGAAGGGACTATATAAAGGACTTTATAGCCTAAAATTTACATATGGTAATTTTTGGGGAAAGGATGAGAACACAAGCTCTCCTTTCTCTCTAAAATTTAGGCCACCTTGGAGGGATCATCTAGCAATCAAACTCCTCCAAGGTCACTCATTTCTTCTTCATTATGCCTTGGTGATGAATCATTAGAGGTTCTCAATTTTGGGAACTTGGAGAAACCTTTTCATCCATCCAAATCCATGGATCTAAGATGCAAGGAATGAAGGCCCTCTCTTTGGGTGATTAGCCTTTGCTTATGCAAAGAGGAATCTACAAAGGTATTGATTTCTCAACTCACTTTGTTTTGAGTTGAGTCTTGGTTCACCTATCTACTAGGCTTTGAATTTCATGGGTAAATGTTTTGTTTTAAGTGCATACAAGCATGATTCCGCCTTTAATTGTTAATTGCATGCTATTGATGTTGCTTAAATGAACATGTTTTTCACAAATATTCCTTCACACTTATGGAAGTAAACCGAGTAGGCAGTGACCCACAATGCAGATTAACTAGGCTGAGTCACCCCAAGGGTGCGCATGGTCCCCCAATGCAGATTAACTACGTGGAGCCATGGATATGCCTCCAATAGTGTCGTTCCCCAATGCAGATTGATTAACCAGGCAGAACCACTTATGAGAATAAAGAAACCAAGTAGGTAGTGAATCCCCAATGCAAATTAAACAGGCGGCGTCACCCCTAGAATGAGAATGGTCCCCCAATGCGAATTAACTAGGTAGAACCATCTATAACATGGTGCAGTCTCATCATCACACATCAGTAGGGCCGGTACATAAATTTTTGAGGCCCGTGGCGACACCAAAAAATGTGCCCTTACTTCATATAAAAAATTATTTATTTTTACACGTAAGACATCGATAAAATTATATTTAGAAAAGCACTTCAAACTTAGTAATTTAGAAACATGAAAAAAAAACTAATTTTGTATCGAGAGAAGGAAACCAAAAAACTTCAGGCTTACAAGTAGATAGATTATGAGTTTTGTTTTCCATCTGAACTTAAAAAGTGTTTTTGTATAAATCGTGAGATGTTTTTTCTTATTTACTAACCTTGTCAATATAAGACTAAAAAAAATAAAGGAAAACTAATGAAAATGGCTTGAAAACTTTGAGTTTTAACGAAATTGACAAAAACGTGTCGTAAGTGAATAGTACCATGAGTGATTTTTTAGAGTAAAAATATGGTTTTTCGTTAAAGTGAATAGTAACAGGAGTGTTTCGTTAAAACTCCCCCCAAAAAAAAAAGAAGATATTTTCGAATCTTTAAGGATATGTATAAGTAATGAATGGGCACCAAATTAAACCTTTTGATGACACGTCATATGATTTGGAAATTTAGTATAAAAATTTAATTTACGCATTACCCTTTGTTGAAGATTAGACTTGAATTGGAAAGAATGTTTAAAAATAGCAATTCACATAGTTACTAGCTAGTAATTAAAAATAAATTAACAACTAAACAAAAATTCGTAAAAATTGAAAAAAATAAACATGCACATAACATTTCGAACTTATGGCCTCTCGTTAATTTTAAATACAAAAACCATTACTTCTAATTAAACTTCTAATCATTTAGCCACATTTTTATAAATTTATACTGTTATGAAAAGAAATTTGTAAAAATTGGAATTTAAATAACCACACATAGTGTTTTGAACCTAAAACCTACTCATTAATTTCAAACAACAAAATTACCAGTTCTAGTTAAATTTCTTTGTCATTAAACCAAATTTTATAAATTTACTCTTATGAAATGTATATAAATATGTCACACTAATAATTTTAATGCCCTAATTTTTTTGGGGCTTGAACCATCGCCTTGCCTGCACTAGACTTGAGCCCGCCCTGCACATCAAACATCAATCATCATTAATTATAATTGTTAGCATACAAATTATCGATTCCACAAAACAAACGAATATCTAATCACCTACTACGTACAAGTTCTACAGATTTGTTCTAGCATGGTTCTAGTTCGTACTTTTCTTACTAGCAATAATCACCCATATCCTTTATATCTTACAGTAGTTCAATAATCAGCGAGGTTGCCATTCATCGGTTCTACGACTTCGTGTCGTCGACCTGCCTCGTATGATGGTCAAACAGTGTAAACTTTGGGTGGGGCGAGGAGTCGACTGGAAGTGGTGGCCGAGATCGAAGCATTCGAGGTTTGCGGAATCGGCGTATCAAATCTCTGCAGGGGCGCGGGTCGGGTGAGAGGAAACCGGGTCAATGGGGACTAAAACGGGTCACACCCGGGTCCAACTGTCCTACATGGGATTGGCTGCTTCTCCCACTTCCTTGGACTTTCTATTTATACAAAGTCCAAAGTACTATTTCGTCCCCAACTTACGTCACTCGTAATTCTTTCATTAGAGTTTCGTTTCGCGAATGGTCTTTGTTTACGTACTCGTGAAATCGAGATCCATAAAAAAAACATTAAGATTAACCTCGAAAGATTTTCGAATTTTAAATGACTGCGTACGAAAAATCAAACTTTGTAACTAAGTATAGTTCTAAAATTGATGAAATAAAAATCAATTCCCACAAATACGAAATTTAAATAATGAAATCTAGAATCGGGATTTCACAAGTTGACTATTTCTAATAATAATTAAAAAAGAGTGTTATTAGACCCATCTCATTGTCTTATTTTTACACTCACGTTATAATCCCAGCCACTATAAAAAATAAGAAAAATAACCTACTATTTTCCCATCCACAATTATCCCCAAAGTACTCTTCCAATCTTCACCCTAGCACATCCTACCCCTTCCCATAGGCATTACTGACCGATGTGAAGCACGAAACCGACATCCATATTGTTTCTGTAGCCTGTTCTCCCATCTATTTTTTAATTATTTCAATAATATTTTAATAAAAGAAAAATGATTATATTTATATGATTGAAATAGAGGGGAGAAAAACATCGACCAGCCTTCTGCACTTTTTACCACCACAACCATCCCCATGGCTGACAACGGAGGCGATGCAATAATAGAACGAAGAGTCAGTCACTCAACCAATCATAGAATCAAAGCCGAAAGAATAGGAAGTGAAATCGGTATAAAAAGAAACTCCGATGACATCCATATATGGCTTGATGCATTCAGTGTGTTTGAGATTTGTATTACAACGAGCTCAACGAATACAAAGATCAATTCGTGATTCAATAATTTAGGATCCAATAAACATATATTAAAATTTAGAAGGAATGAAGTGATGACGAGACGTTTAGGAATTGAGATTACGAGTTGCTAGGAGTGTGGGTGGCAGTGAATGGTCTAATCTTGTTTTCCCTTGGCCCTTATTTGACATTTTGCGTGAGGAGAAATTGGTAATTAAAATTTTTAATAAAAAATGAGTGTAAAATTAAGACATATGGATGGCAATAGTAGCAATATTAAAAAATTAAGACACATTATTAAATTGCCTCTATTACACATCTGATTAAAAAAGTAATAAACACGTTCTTCACGTTTGGCCAAAATAATTAAAATAATGACTTACACTAAGTTGCCTCTATTACCGTTTGGAATATACAGCAACCCGCTTTCTCTGGCCAATCATATCCTTCTCTGTCCATTTTTTCCGGCGAAACGATCGACAAACCACTTCAACTTCGCCGGTTTCACACCATGGACTCGGAATCAGGTATGTCGCGGTCAAACCCTAATTTCGATTTTGTCTACTAAATCGCTGAGCATGCTTCTCTCTGTGCGTGTATTTTGCAGTAATTGAGTTCCTGGGCCTCGTTCCTCTGCTTCAGAGGCTCCCCAGCTCCTCTCTCAAGAGAATCGCCCAGCTCGTCATTGTCAAACACTACGGTCAATTTCTATAATCTGATTGTTTTTTCGGCTTATTTTAAGCTCAATTCTTTCAGTAAATGTTTATACTTTATGTGCAGATACGTATATAATACTGTGTATGTATAGTTTGTAATTGTGGTGAGGATTTTGAGTGTGTTCTTTTTTGTGTGTAGAGAGTGGAGAGTATGTTGTTCACGAAGGCGAAACAGGGGACGGGGTTTACTTCATATGGGAAGGAGAGGTTAGTTTGATTTTGATTGCTTATTGGTTAGTTGAACTGGAAGTTGGTCAGCTGGAGTCTGATTCAGCAGGTTGCTTACACAGGCTGAAGTTACTGGTTCTGTTAATGCTGAAGGAAATCGACCTGAGTTCAAATTGAAACAATATGATTATTTTGGTTATGGTGAGAACTGAGAATTCAGAATCCATGTTTTATCTTTCCTGTTTTGGAATTAAGAAGTTGGGTTACTTTTCTATACCGCTTTGTTATGATTCACTGAGAAATTTTTAATCATTTGTCTGCATATAATATGAGATAGGGTTTCTACTTTCTAGATCCGTTTCTGATCTTTAGAGATTGCTTGATTTGATATTGTCAAATGGTATATTGATTTCGATGTTCAGTATGTTGTTGCAGTAGTTTAACTGGATGCGATATAAGTTGAGGTGTTGACATGAAACCGGACACAGAACTGTCTTCGATTACTTTGGATAAAGTCGTAGTTTGGTTTAGGATATAAATGATGAATCTTTGTCCTTTAGATTTTTGGATGACAGACGTGTGAGGCATTGGCCCGTAATTCGTAATAATGTTGCTGGAATTATAAGTGTCACCGTCCATTATCAAGGAAGTATAATGTGAAGTTAATTTTGCAGGTTATGCATCAATTGAACATCAGGCCAATGTGATTGCTTTATCTAAGGTAGTTGAAATGTACATATAATATCTTAGCTTTTCATTTTTCTTCTTGGCTGCTTAGAGGATTTGGGTCGCGAGCCTGGGCTTTAATAGTCGATTGGGCTGTATAGATAGTGGCAACTTCACAATCTTGTTTTATTGTTTCTGTGTGACAACTACATCCATCTGGTTGCTCAAGCTCACAAGATTTTCCTTTAAAATGCTGTCTAATGTATTCTACCAGTGGTTTCTGATGTGTTCTTACTTTTGGCAGCTGACTTGCTTGGTGCTACCCCATGGGAATTTTTCTCTGCTGCAGCCAAAATCAATCTGGAACGCTGATGAAGCTCAAGAGACATGCTCTCTTGTTGAGAATATATTACATTTGGATCCAAGTGAAGTATTTATCTACCAAATCTTCAAGAGAATACATTTTCTGTCCTTTGTTTTATTTGGTTATAAAGATGTTGAAGAGATTTGATGTAGTGAGTTGTTTGTGTTTTATTTGCTAGCATTGCATTCAAAGGTAAATAGTTATGAGGTGATGGTTATAGTGCCAATTGTTGTGTGCTATCTGACCTCTAGTGATTGTTGATTTTGTTTACTAATTTTGCATGTATAAGAATCAAATTAGTTGACCGAAAAATTGCATCAGATGCTAAGGTTCTAATGTGCAGATGTGTATGATTATTAAAGAGTGTCTACTTTCTGAAATCTTTCGAATCTTGTATATATCACAATTCAAAGTGAACTTTGATCTCTATAATGTATTCAGTCGGATACACACCCAATATAGTAAAAACTTGATCTGCGTACTTTTAACTTGTGGCTTGTCCACGTTTATTTCTGCTCTTAATATGCCAGATGTGAAGTGATTCTGGATTTTTATTCTTTCTGCATAGAAATATATGATGTTTTATTCTCTTGTTTGCTGATGATTGGCATTTTGTGGAGAGAGATTATGTAATTCTATATTATTACTGCATTTTAGAATTATTCTGAGTAATACTTGTAATATGGCCACATATAAAGAATTGTTTTGGTGGATAAGATTCTATTCCTTCCCCTCTCCTCTGAAGGTAAACATATTTGAAGGGATTACTTTGCCAGATGCGCCAAGTTTCGAACAGGTTTTTGGAGGACAGTTAGTTGGACAGGCATGATTAAGAATCTTTTTCTCTTCTGTTTAATATTATGTACTGAATGTTTCTGAATGAATGCACAGTCGATGTAGTGAAAGAAATGAAATATTGTGATGGACTGTGGAACTAGAACTTGCATGCTTTATACAATAAGCTTCCTAATTCTGCCTGAAAATTAAAGGACAAAAAAGTACATATCATCCTTGTTAAGTGCACGAAGATTGTCTCCACACTTGTCTGACCTTGATTGCCTGCATCTTTGTAACAATCGTTTGCGGTGTTTTATATTTGTTGGAATATTAATATTCAATTAAACACCCATTGTTTATTGAGATGTCAGCTTGATTATTTAAATATTACAAGGGTTCTTTATATTTGTTCAAATGTTTACGTGCAGTGGGACACCAAGTTTGTTTTATCTATTAAATAATAAAAAATTTGTTTTTGTTTTATCTGTAATATGTTTCTGCTTTGTAGTATACCTGCAACTCAGGCTCTTTGTTCTGTCATCAATATAGTTTTGGGTTCATTCAGACACAAATAAAATTTGATCATGGCTTGGGATTCAAATAAAATATGTTTTTGTTTTATGTGTAATATGTTTTGGCTTCTAATTCAGGCATTGGCTGCGGCAACGAAAACTGTTGATTGTCTTAAACTTCTCCATAGTGTGCATGCGCATTTTCTGCTGGCTGGGGATTGTAACAGTAAGTAATTTATGTATGATCCTAATATCTATGGATAAAAATCTTAAGATAAGAGGCAATATGATTGTATGTATGTATATGTGTGTGTGTGTGTGTGTGTGTGTATTATGCTTATGTGCGAGAATTGCTTTTGCAGCACCAATTATTTATCAAGTTCACAGAATACGTGATGGGAAGAGCTTTGCTACTCGACGAGTGGACGCAATACAAAAGGGGATTAACATATTCACGTTACTGGCATCATTTAAGGTAACCATTTATTTAGACACTTTACAAATGATCTGATAACGGTCTCTTGGTTATCATCTTTTCTTGTCATTAATACCAGTGCACTTTAAAATGCATATCAAAGTGATAGAAGTCAAGTATTGATCAATATTTGTTAATCAGATTGCTAAAATCTTATGATCTATGTCTTAATATGATTAACAGAGATTGGATCTGTCTTTCAAATTTGTATGGATAAGCTAATAAAACTTGTGCCGGAAGAAGTATTATTTATATTCTTTCCCTCAACGTATGATAAAGTAGCAGCTACTCGTGCAGTGTTACCTACTGATGGTAAGATTGGTTGTATTTGTTTTACAGAAAGAAGAAGAAGGGTTTGTCCACCTGCAAGCAACAATGCCATCTGTGCCTGCTCCGGATAAAGTAACATTTTCTTTCTTATTTGTTAACAATTTTGTAGATTAGTTGCAAATACTGAACTGTTGATCCATAACAGCTTCTGTCAATGGAAGAACTACGTGAAAAACATCTGCTTGATCCACGTCTTCTAAGGTAAGATATATGGCTTGTAGATCTCTATTATTCTTGGTGTTGGGGAGTTCAGTTGGGATTTCTGTACAAACTGTACTTTAGTATAGTGGACAGTCACACAGCTATGTAGTTTAGGGTCGTAGCCTCCAGAAAAGAATATCCAGCCAGACACTGGCGGATCCATATAGGGACCCAGGGGGTCCTGGGACCCTTCGGAAGCCCGAAGAAACACTTGTGATCGACCTTTAGGACCTTCCAACAATTTGGGCAGGTGCAGTGGAGAGGCTTGTGTGCAGGCAGCAGTGCTTATAACAAAGAAGAACAATAGGTTTTTAATTTTTGTTTTAGAAGACCTAGTCAAATCGACAGCGTTTTTGAGCTAGGTCATTATAAAAAATTTAAAATCTAAAATATCTTTGTTTTCTCTATAGAGCCTTAGAACCCCGGTCTTTTCTAGTATCTCCAAATTATATTTAAGAACTCCCATCCCCAATCGTCGCGACCCTTCAACTTTAAACCCAAGTTACCCTATTCCCCACCACCATTTACCCTTCCACCACCTTTAGCTGCCTAATTTTATTTCTTCCAAATTCATACAAGTTTTTTAATCTTAGACTCTAGTCGTAACTCCCAATTAATAATATATATGTTGCATTAACAAATTTTATCTTTGTAGAGTCACTAATTGCGTTATGTTGTTGAGAAGAATTTTTTCGTTTTATTACATTTGAGATTAATCTTGATTTATTCAATAACCAAATTTAGTAGAAAATAGTGATACGGAACCAAATTAGTCTAATATTTTTTTTTTTTCTTTTTTTGAGCTTTTATGTTTGAACCCCCTGAGCTTGAAATCCTGGATCCACCACTGCAGCCAGATACAAGAAAGGCCCCTTCTCATTTGTTCGACAAATTATAGGGGATGGTTCATGGATGGACTCTCCATGAAACAGAACTTCTGTGCTTGGGTGGAAACCATGCACAAAAAATATCTTGCTTTGGACCGGTCCCTAAGTTGGATAGATCTCAATCTGTCTGGGCTTGAATGATACTTTATTGAAGTTTCTTGAGTGGATGTTGTTCTCTTATTGGCTTGCTAAAAATATAGTGTCTACTGGATTTAATTTTGTTCCAAAGATATTGGTTTTGAACAGGAGATCTTTCTGATTATGTATCATGAAAACTTTTGTTAATAAATTTTTTTGGAAAAGAGAACTGTTTATATTATTTTATTAGGTTTCCTGTTGCAGAAACTAAACAACTTTCTTAAGGTTTATAAAAGTGTAATTCAAGGTTTATACTTTTGTTAGAGATCTTTTTTTCACAACTTCTATCGAAACTTTGTTTTCAGCAAATCTCATCTTGTTGGTAGCTGATGAAAAAGGTTGTATATATGATATTTGTGACTGCTTGAATCAGGACTTATCGATTCAATGCAGCTGCAAAGAAATTTGTGCCTTGGCCAATAGAGATACGATCTTGTGAGCCTAACAGCTCTACCAATCAGACTGAATCTGCACCAAGGTTGGCTTGCTGTACTGTGATTCATAATCTCTCTCTCTCTCCTCTTTTTTTTCCCTCAGTTTGCTTCCCGCTTCATGCGAACTAGGATATTTCAAAATTTTATTATTTAAATTGATTTATCAGTTTGGTACTGAACTCTTATCTAAGTAGAATTCAGTGACATTTCAGTGTGAAGTTCTGGTTTAGAGCGATTGGAAAACTTTCAGACGATCAGGCTTTGCATAGGTATGCAACCATTTTATCTGTAAGCTGACATTCAGTTCTCTGGTTATTTATGATTGTGAGTATCTATCACACTTGGTATTTGCATTGACAATGATTAAATCAAAGTAAAGTATCATGGAACTTGTATCGTGGTTTACTATAGGATTCTTATATACATACATATATATAGTGATTATTTTTGTATGATTGATTTCCAGATGTGTTGTAGCATATGCTTCGGATTTGATATTTTTGGGTGTAAGTCTGAATCCCCAACGCTTAAGAGTTAGTTTGGACCATGCGTAAGTCACTGTTTTTTTTTTTCTTTAAACACTTGGTCGTTCAGTTGGGATGATCAAATTTTTTGGTTAAACATATAATTTTTTCAAATATTCTCCCAGGATTTGGTTTCACCGTCCGGTTAGAGCTGATGATTGGTTACTGTATGTGGTATGTCTCAAATATGCCTCATTCTCAGTTTCGTTAAAAACTTAAAATACTGATGCATATGTTTTGTCAACAGATAGTGACTCCAACTGCCTACGACACGCGTGAATTTGTTTCGGGCCAAATGTTTAACATAAAGGGAGAGGTACAGACTTTTACGTACTGCTCGTCTCTCGTTGCTGTTGGTTTGCATCTATCTAAGCATTGTGTGATGAATTAAAGTTAATGTATGTTTTGATGGCAGCTTATTGTATCATTGACTCAAGAGTCCCTAAATAGGCGAATTAGACCAACTCCGGCTGCCACATCTAAGTTGTGAACCACTTTTGACTTCGGTTCCAGATTTCTGCACTAAATTGTGTAATAACTTGATAACACATTTCAAGAGATGTTGCAGTTTCCGGCGTTGTCGACATTGCCGTCTTCCTTCGCCGTCGTGCAGAGAATAATAGCCTAAAGTTGTAATGAAACATCATCTTTATTTTCTGTGATATTTATACTTGATAGCAATACAAAGAGAAGGCACGCTAATTAACTTGGCTAAAGTTGATGCACAGTATTCCATTGATTACGGAGATAATTTCTAATTGTGTCGGGTAATACCCGAGCAACTCATGTAGGATCGATTCACCTCGACCGCCACATAACATCTCACTTTATTAAAGCGGTATTATGTCATGTGAAGAAAAAATTATAATGTTATTATATTCAAGTCGGGGAAAAAAAAGATTGCAATGCCACGATAATCCCTTTTATGAGAAAACTTGAAATAGGTTCAATTTTAGCAAAAAAAAATAATAATGTTCGGGATGAAAATTGAATACATAGGTATAGGACCAGTCCATGATAGGTGTCTTATTAAATCCTAGTCAAGTAGCAAAAACCCAATAAGAAAAATGCTTCTAATCGTAGGAGAAAAAGATTCTGGAAGGTAGACTTCGGCAATGACTTTGCAAAACTTCTAGATACTAGTTTGACAAACTTCCATCTTCTTTAAAGTCAGTTGAGTATACTTTTAGATACTGATTTGACAAACTTCCAAATGAAAACTACAGTCATTGTAAATCAAACAATTTATGCATATTGACTCCTTGAACAAGATTCTGGAAGGTATACTCTTGTAGTGACTTTGCGAAGAGCTTAGGTTGTCATGAGAACGGATTTGTTTAACTTCAAGATGCTTTTGCTGCTAATGTGAGATGAAGAATTTCAACGTAATATGCTACATATGGAGGCATTCTGAATGTGATCGCCATTTCAATGACCCCGATGACTTCAGAGCGATAGTGATGATGATGAAGAATATCATAATTATCAAGCAGAAGGAGCCATGAGACAAAACATTAAGAAATAACATAGTTGCAAGTTTGATGAATGTATCTTATTAGACTACTTTTATATTGACAAATTTTTATTGCTATTTTGCTAAAGTATGTATCAGTTGGTTGATGGTATTTCAAATGTGCGAACAATGTTGTGCTAATGAATCCTAGCTATTTAGTTTGAAATATTTCAAATTTTTAAAATAATGTCATAATAATTAGTTTTTGATATATGTTGAAATTAAGATTAAATATTTATTTTAAACAAATTTAATAATTGACCTTTATTTGCCAAACAATTAAATTAATAGGCATATTCAGTATTGTGCCTTTTTTGGTTATTTTACATAGTTAGAGTTGTTTTATATAGAAGTTGAGAGCTGCTAGACCCACCCTCTTATTTTCCCATCCACGTTATATTTACACCCACTATAAAAAGTTAAAAAATTAAAATGTTATTTTCCCACCCACTATTATTCCTAAAATAACCCTAACCCACATAAAATTATCTTTTATCTCTTCGACAGAAACATAATCATCTACTTTTTTCATAGAAACATCATCTTCTAAGTTCATTCTTTTTGCTTTCTCTTAATGAAAGGAGATGAGAATGATGAGTTAAGATTTAAGAGAGACAAATCGTCTAAACATAGTGTGAGAGTTACTTTTTTATTTTTTATTTTATTTTTTATTTTATATATATATATATATAAAAAGTAATGCAAAATGAGGTAGCTAAGATCCTTATTAGTCATTTTACAAATTGACAAATTTGTAATTAAAAAATTCATAAAATGGTGTGTGAGAAGACATGACATTGGAGTGGGAATAACAACTCTCTAAAAATTTACTAAACATCATAATACAACTTTTTCCTGCTAAAAGCACTTTTCTAACTATAATTTACTAAATACTTTTCTATTTTAATTTACAGCTACTTATCTTGGAGGCAAAGCTTAATCAGAAGGTTTTCCCAACCTTTCGTAGTACTACAGCTTGACGCAATCAGTTTCAGGCATTGCCAAGCTTCCTCAGGAATTGATTGGAGGCGAAGATCGTGGTTCCAATAACCTCGCAAATCTCCATTTCTCAGACTCGCAGGTTAGTTTTCCCCCAAATCTTTTTATTTCTGCCTTCTCAAATTTCTTTCTTTGGTTTGTTTCTCGATTCGGTCAACATTTTCCATGTGATTTTTCGAATTAGGGTTTTAGCTCATTAATTTTGGTACTTGATTCACTTGTTCGTGTGAAAATGTTGAAATTTCTGCAAGTAAAATCGAAATGGAATTGGAATTATACTATTTTGTAACAGTTGGTATGAATTTGATGTTGAATTGTACTGGATTTTAACTATTACCGTGGAACCAAGATATTAGTATGAAGAACAAGAAGATTGAAAGAGAGAATGTTGCACAGAATTTCTGAGTTAGAATTGGATTTTCGGTCTTGATGCTGCTGCATATTTTGTTGAATTGTTGGTTTTTGGTAGTTTATCGATCACGGAGTGTTTTAAGTTTGTGTAGATTTGAAGAGTAATGCTGCTACAAATGAAAAACGAGAAACTTTAACTTCAAGTTTGTGGAGGGCATTGTTATTAAGAATTTTGTATAAGGCGAAAATATGGCAATGGAATGCAATCTATATGCTAAATCTACTTGATTGGAGAAATAGATAAATTCAATGATCCATGAGGTGATAAAAGAATAAAAGCAAGCTTAGAGAAAGAATAATTCATCAAGAGAGAGGAGAAATAGTTTGTGGCAGTGTTTGAACTGCATATCATAAGGGTATTTCTCAAATTGATTCTCCAAATATCAGTCGATGATAGAACAACCTATTGACAATGCCAAGTTTTGTTAGTCGAAGGAAGTTTAGTATTGCTAGTTCTAGTCTTTTGGTTGGCATGGTTACCAGAGGTGTAAGTTGACATGCATATTACTGCGTTTGCTACAGTGAATTCAATTTTCAGCATTCAACGTTACTTATCTAAAATTCTTATGGTTCTTGTATAATTTTGCAGGGCATCCACTCAGCCATACATTAGAATGGAACTGCCAGGTGATGGATCAGATGTGATTAGTCAAACGGAACTGACCCAACAGCCACTTTTATGTGGACTTCCAGATGATATTGCTCTTTTCTGCCTATCAAGGGTGCCTCGGAAGTACCATACCCTCTTAAAGTGTGTCTCAAAAAGATGGAGAGACTTGGTGTGTAGTGAAGAGTGGCATTCTTACCGTAGAAAGCATAAACTTGATGAGACTTGGATCTATGCTTTGTGCCGAGACAAGTTGGACCGCCTTTGCTTTTATGTGTTGGATCCAAACTCATCAAGGCGGTCTTGGAAGCTTGTTCATGGGCTTCCGCCTCGTATCATGAAGAGAAAGGGAATGGGTTTTGAAGTTCTAGGAAAGAAAGTTTACTTATTGGGTGGTTGCGGTTGGTGTGAAGATGCTACTGATGAGGTCTACTGTTATGATGCTTCCCTGAATGCTTGGAGTGAAGCTTCTCCCTTGTCCACTGCTAGGTAATACTTGTCACTTATACTTTTTGCATACTTATTTGCGCGGGTGAAGCTGGAATTTGATTTCTCCCTGGTTCAAAATTCAAATATATTTCACCTGCTGAGGGGGCAATGTATTTTATGCAATAATACTAGAGAGTAGCGATTATTTTATGCTCATGAACTTTCCGGGTACGTTGATTGCTCATTGTTGAATGCTATCTGGATGGTAGTAAAAGCTCTTGCAAGTAATTATGCGTCTTTTTGTTTGTTTTGGTAATCTTAAAGAGCTTTTGGTTTATTTGATTTGTGCATGCAGGTGCTACTTTGCTTGTGAAATATTGGATGACAAAATATATTCCATTGGCGGGTTGGGTTCAATTTCAAGCTATCCGCATTCTTGGGACATATATGACCCTTGCACTGATAGTTGGAAATTTCACTCAGACCCAAACATTGTTCCTGAAATTGAGGATTCTGTGGTCATGGCTGGGAAGATTTACTTTCGTTGTGGCACTTCTGCTGTAACTTCTCATGTGCACGCTGTTGTTTATGAACCGTCAAGTGGGACATGGCAGCATGCAGATTCTGAAATGGTTTCAGGCTGGCGAGGTCCAGCAGTTGTATTAGACGGAACTCTCTATGTGTTGGATCAGAGTTCAGGAACGAGGCTGATGATGTGGGAGAAGGAAGCTAGGGAGTGGATCCCTGTCGGGAGGCTGTCATCCTTGCTTACTAGACCGCCCTGTCAACTCGTAGCTATGGGGAAGAAATTTTATGTTGTGGGAAAGGGGCTTAGCACAGTCATGTTTGATGTTGAAAATGCAGGGAATATGGAAGGGGTGATGGTTAGTTCTTCAATACCTAAATTGAATTCAGACATTGATGTAATCGGCTGTAAATGTTTATCGATTTGAAATTCTTGTAACCGAAGGAGTATTTGGAAACTACCATTGTATAATACTTTGTACTGTACATGCTCTGATGTATTTGGACGTCTCATAAAAAGGAATTTTATTAAATTATTTATAAGGTTTTCTGTATTACCATTCTTAAAATTTGAAGCTGTGAATTTTTAAGTCAACAACATGGTTCTGCTACTTCCATCAACATAGGAAGTACAACATTGGAACTCTATAAAAAATGCGTCCAAGAGTGGGGTAGTCAAGCAGCCCGTCTAGCTCAGTTGGTAGAGCGCAAGGCTCTTAACCTTGTGGTCGTGGGTTCGAGCCCCACGGTGGGCGTCAGCTTATATTTTTAAACTTTTAAATCGCCAAAAAGGACCAATACGCTGCGTTTTGTAAAAAGCGTAGACTAAGTATCCCACATCGACTAAACGCAGTGATATCAGCCCCTTTATATATGTTTTGATGGCTGCGAAATTTGTCCGTACGGGACATCCGATAAAAGTGGAATGATATAGAGAAGATTAGCACGGCCCTAGTGCGAGGTGACATGTATAAATCGAGAAATGATGCAAAATTCTTCAGGATTTTTTGAATCTCGTTTTTTTCAACTAAAAACTAAATGGAATTAAGGTCTCAATTTATTGTGTGAAATAACTTTATTTGATTGCAAAATAAGACCATTTGGACACACAAAATTAACTTCATCTGTGACTCTTTGATAAAGGTATACCTAACCAGGTACGTGAGATCTACATGTATTAATCGAGTGTCAAAAATAAGGTCAGCTTTGTGTGCCTCAATAACATTATTCTTCGATCACAAGTATCGTAAACCCTATTCATCCTTCTTGAAGGCGACGGCTGTAACCTTCAACATGAAATATTCTTACATTTGAACGGTGATTAATTCCAACGGGGTTGCTCAAATGGATGTGCTCAAACCAGTTTTAGCAACCCTATTGACATTCCACTGTGTAATGTGCATTGTGCTTGTTATTATTGTAGTCGATAAGGTGAAGATATCTGAAAGAGGAGCTTTCTGGGAAAATTGGCAACATACTAAGGTATACTTCAAATTCAAAGCACACTTTCTTCAGTAGTTACAGCCCAACGAAAACTCGTACTGCTTCATTTTACAAATCAAATTTGATCAATTTTAAAACATCTGTGTCATGCTACATCGATTAACAGCAGATACAGAAGCGATCAAGGGTTTGCAATCTTGGTCAACTAGTCCTTTTCTTTTGAAACGCAGAATGTATGATTCTGCTTTGAGGATCTAATTTGTCAATCTTTGAAGAACACTCTTCTGCTCTCTTCAAAACAATAGGCAAGGCAGCAACGTTGCTGGGAAATTTATCTTTATGCAATTGCATCCTCTCGAAAGTCTGATCTCCATCGGCCAGTAATGCCCACTTATTCGAACCAACTTGTTCTGCAGCTGCAAAATATACACACGTTAAGAAGTGCTTCCATTGCAACAGCAAGTTTATCGGTAAAAAAAACAAAAAAAAAGGAAACACATGCTACTTTTTTCTCTTTTCAAGTGATATAGGAAAGCAAGTCTTACGACAGATACAAGAAATTCTACACCAGGTACAAATAAAGCACCAATCTTACAGGCAAAAAACAATAAAACAAATTTTTAGAAGTTTTTTTTTTTTTTTTTTTTTAATGAAAAGGGGACCAATTGCTGGCCAAGCCACGACAATTCACTCTTCTGCAGGCCCAGAAGACTCACAGAGCATTTCAGCCACACCTGGCCACCTTCGTGTGATTCACCGGTACCAGGAATTAGACATATTGTTTTATCACTTTAATCTTGCAGCACCAATAGGTGCAAATGTAGTTGAAAAAGACCCATTTATTTTCATCACCTTGCAACCACTGTAACCTTTGCTCGTCATTGTCTCCATCATGATCATACAAAGTTCACTGCGACTCATAATCATTTTTGCTATGTATCAACTACATAACCAGAGACATCATCTCCACCTTCGCATTTCCATTGACACCGACACTAAGATGGCCACTGCGACCACCACCAATGTTGGCTTCAATAACATTTGTACATCACTATGCAATGCAACATAGCAACATACCATTGTTTCAATAATTTACTCCACTCATCAGCGATCACCATGGAAGGGAGAGGAATTTTCTCTCACTTAAGCTTTTCCACCATTGAATCTCCCTTAGTGAGACGGAAAGATAAGCAGACAGCATCGCATTATCAGCCATGTTCGGCGTGTGAGCGCCAATATGCTAGTATGAACTGTATGATCACTACCTACAAAGATGGGTTGCTAAACACTATGTCATTGTCAATGCAAACTTTTCCCATCCATATCATTATTGTCCAGAAACATAAAAATCCATCCAAATCTCTTTGCAGCCACCTAAACAAAATTAGAATTCCACTTTTCCTATAAAAAGACCCCAACTTTTCATTTTCTATTCAAACCTATAATTTTCTCAGCTACCAAACAGACCTTACAGAGTTTCAAACGGTATCAATCTGATAATCACGATATTCATTATACCATAACCCTATAAATTTTACAAAACCCAACACGTTAAGAGGACCGTACCAAAATTTGGAGCTCCGGACGTCCCTGGTCCCGACCCATCCAAAAATACGGGCCGCTGGACGGCGAGAATGGAGGCGACGGTGTTCTTGAGCTGATCTGGTAAAGTTGCTCTGTACTCGAGAACCTTCTTCGCCATTTCATCCACTTGGCGCTCCAGGTCCTCATCTTCCGGGTCGGGTCCGCTTTCGTTCAGCGCCATGCCTCAAATCTAGGTGGTGGTGAGCGAGCGAGTGAGGAGAGTGAGACTCTGTGCGCGAATCAGGTTGGGGTGGGTAATTGTGTTTTAATCTCAATGTCAGGGTTTTTCGGAATTTGAAATTCATTTGGGCTTATCTTTTTGTTCATTACATCCATATTTTTACGCTAAGTGTAAAAAAAATTTGATTAAGCTACGCAATAAGCAACCTAATTTACTATCAAATTTGTTATTTACGATATTTAAATTTAAGATTTCTTACTTTAAGTGAATAGTTCTGAAGGGCTCTTTTGGGCTAATTATAGGTTACAGTTTTTTTAGGTACAACGATATATTTTACATTGAGAGGATGTAGGAGTTCGACTAAGCTATACAATGGATAATTTAATTTGGTATCGAATTCGCCTCTACAACATTCGAACTTAAGATCTTTCACTTATTATACCATTTATTATATGTTTAGGGTGTTTTTTAAATTGAGCCATGAAATTTTAATTTTTCACACTGCTTTTTGAGATTTTAAAATGGTATTAATTTATTTTTTGGTCTTTCGAATTATTTGATTCTTCATTAAATATTTAAATTATTTAATTCATTATTGATGTACTCAAAGTTATTTAGTACTATTATTTAGTGAAGTATTCATTTTCATTTATAAGTAAAATGTTTTAAGTTCGATTTTCACTAAAGGCAAGTTTGAATTACATTATTGCTAGCTCATTGTGAGACTAAGTCCATATCTCTTCCTTAACGTAGATAATATCGTTTTTTCAAAAGAAAAAAAACCGTACTTGATTTGACATGTAGTCTACATTTGTACCAAATTGACTAAAAACTTATTAATTTAGTAGAGAATTAGACGTTCAAGTAGATAAAATGTGTAAATTAATACAATTGCAAAATCAACAAAGAAAAGTACACTATTTTCCTATTCAACTTTCTCAGTAACCAAACAAGAAGTCGACAAAATCCTAACTTTAACCGAACGAAGAGTACGAGGTTGCTCTCCGGCCTACTCGTTCTAAAACCCCAGAAACAGACAATTGACAGACCTTGGAGACTCCGAAACATCACAAGTGTTCACATATATTTCGAACGTACTAATTAATCAGCTGCATTGTCCCTAATCCAACTCTTAATTCCCTTAAAACAAAAAATAAAAATCACACTTCTCTATTTTTTTCTTCCTTTTTTCTGATTGCTTTCAGAGTTTTTCTTATTTCATCTCATGGAAGATTGCTTGTCATCATCTAAGGTGATCCTGATTCTCATCTTTTCAAATCGCTAGTCTGACAGCATTTTTATTCCAATTTATTGTCTTAAAAAATTTCGTTTTAGTCTCATTCATTTTCCAAGGAAACAAATAGAGGGTCAGATTAAAATCTAAAATCCAACTAAAAATTCACTTCTTTCTGATGGGAACTTGTGATTTTTTTTTTTTTTGGTGACACAAATTTTAATTTCCTAACAATTGTAAGAAAAATGTTGAAAACATTACTTGCTGCTGCATCATGCAGAAGTCTCAAAAGATTGTAGGATTTGAAGGTCCATACCGGATGCTAGATTGTTCGGGCAAGGGTGACAAAGCAGGAGTGGTGCGCGAGCTAGAGAAAGGGGTGGAGCCGAATTTAGCTGACTATAATAAGAGAACAGCTCTTCACTTGGCATCCTGTGAAGGCCACACTGAGATTGTTCTTCTGCTTCTTCAGAAAGGTGCTGATGTGAACTCCACAGATCGTTGGGGCCGCACTGTAAGTTCAACCGTGTTTTTTCCATTGATGGGCGAATTTTTCGATTTGGCTCATAAGAAGTACCAAAGCATTTTCTATGACATAGGGTTACATAAATTATAAACATACATAAATATATTGATTGTCACAATTTGTTTAGTTAGAAATATGATCAAAATAAAGGAACACAGAATATAATCAAAAGAAAAATTATATTTTACTTTGAGGATGTTCCGAATATCTTTGTGATGGTTTTTTCCTTCCATCATAATCTTACTGTCTTCCAATTAATACAAATGGTTTGAGAAGCATTTGCTGATATAAATGATATTTTGCAGCCACTGTCAGACGCTCGTAGCCTCAGTCAAGAGGCAATTTGCAAAATATTGGAGGCTAAGGGTGGCATAGATCCGGTACTTAACTTTCCTAATACACTTGTGTTGTCTTGACAGATGACCAACATCTTTGTTTTCTCTGTAGCCTGCAATCTGCATTTCTTTTGAAATGATTAATAATTTATATATAGGTGTTCTTACATATTGTTTGAATGTATGAACTTATTGGAAAATGTAATTTTTTTATATGTTAAAGGTAGGGCTTGATTCCCAGCTTCCATGCTATGAAGTGAATCACACTGAGGTGAACATGGATGAAGCAGCACTTATTGGAGAGGTAAATTTCGTTAATTCATCTTCTTTTGGCAAATAATCAACATGAATTGACCTCAGCGCACTTTCTTTTCTAAATTTGTCCAATAGGGATATATATGTGAAATATCTAACCTCTGGACCTACACATTCTTGGTTTTATATCCCGCTTGCGATACTGCATTTACTTAAAGTACATAGCCCTGCAGGGATCATATGTTGAGATTTATTTAGTGAGGTGGCGCGGTACAGAAGTTGCTGCTAAAACAATCCGTTCCTCCATTGCTTCCTATCCGAAAGTGAAGTGAGTTTCTCTATCTGCATATCTTTGATCTGATGGTTTGTCATCATCTTGTAGATGCCAGAATAAATGGATCATATCAGTTAAAGTAAAAATGTCAGCCATAAGATTATAACATGTACAAATTCGATATAAAGCTGCGGAGAGTTGTAAATTTAATTCTGTATCTTTATTTTCGATTCAAGGAAGTTGAACTAAATTTCTAAATGCAGGAATTTCTTTATGAAGGAACTCGCTTTGTGGCAAAATCTTCGCCACCCTAATATTGTACAATTCCTTGGTGTTCTAAAGCACCCTGACCGCTTGATCTTCCTTTCTGAGTATCTTTGCAATGTCAGTTATCTTATCCAACATTTAACTTTTTTCCTTCGAAATTCATGTTCATGTTTCTTACACCAATGTGAATGCAACAGGGAAGTTTGCATGATATATTAAAAAGAAAAGGAAGGCTTGATCTGCAAACCGTACTTTCTTTTGCTCTAGATATCGCTAGGTACGCATTTACACTACAGCTATGTGGATCTGTAATATAATTTACCATCTTGTACTGTGTTCATGGGTGAACTTTGTTGATTATGCAATGCATACTTACAATGAGTAACCTTGCATTACAGAGGTATGAATTATCTTCATCAGCATAAACCGCACCCTATAATTCATCGGGGTTTGACACCAAGGTACAGCTCAAAAAAATTGTTTACATATTTTGTAAGTCAAAATACACGACTTTCTGCTTAGCAAAGCGCTACGGATTTTGTTCTGCTAATGTTTCTTCTTTGTTCTGTAGAAATGTTTTACAAGATGGAGCTGGGCGACTCAAGGTCACCGATTTTGGCTTAAGCAAAATTGCACAGGAAAATGATGTATCGGGTTATAAGATGACTGGACGAACAAGTTCATGTAAGACATGCATTTCACTCAAAATCAAGTATATATCCCTTAAAATTTTGATGCTTTCTCTGATTTGATCTTGTGATATTTGCTAGATCGTTATATGGCACCTGAGGTTTATCGTCGAGAATCATATGGAACGAGTATTGATATCTTTTCGTTCGCTCTAATAGTCCATGAGGTGAGCTTTAGAAACTTAAGGCTCAAGTAACCTTCATTATAAACACGAAAGTTATTTCTGGAATATCGAAGTTGCCCCTACAGAATGTCATACATAACAATGGCTTTCGCATATATATAGATGTTTCTCGGAGGACCACCTAGTCTGGCAGAGGATCCGGAAAAAATTGCAGACAAGCGCGCATACGAGGATTCTCGACCACCTCTCTACTCTTATCTGCACCCCAAACCGATCAGGACGTGAGTGTTCTTGGACTACTTTAAATATCTCACCGTATCTGATTCTTTAACAACGATAACAATAAACCTTACAGCTACATATATCACAAGCATTATTCAAAAAACAAAGAACTTCTAATAGTTTCTGGTGCTAAGAAATTGCAGTTAAAATATATTGTCTGCATGTACATATTGTTCGCTTAAAGAACTCATCGCTCTCGAATTTGTTTCTAAACTTGCATCTAAAACTAAACTCAGTTCCCTAATGCAAGAGTTTAGAAGCTAAACATAGTGTTTTCGTTTTAAAAAAAAAACCAGTGTTTCTGCTATCTGTGAGGATAATCAACTGTGAAATAAAATAGTTAAGCGTTTTAGTTGTATGATTACAAATTAAATGTTCTCTGCTTTGCGTAATGTAGGCTTCTTAAAGCATGCTGGCACCAGGATCCAGATTGCCGGCCAACGTTCGAAGAGATTATTTTGCAGCTGGAGGAAATTCAAGCTGCCTTTCAGGACAAGATGAAAATGGGAAACTGTAGTGGTGCTTGTGTCATCTCATAAATGGAATTTATGGAAGTCAAATATGTCGAGAAAGTTTACTCTTCTTTTGTGGGTGTGTGTATATGCATGTGGCATTTTATATATAAACTTGTTTACAAGATTAACAGCTACCAATTTATTACTACTTTTACCATCTATTTGTACCATCTCTTTAATAGAAATAGGATCTGCATGCGTTGGCAGACCCTATCTCTATTAGAGAGATGATATGAATGATGGTACAAATAGGTGGTGAGTGTAGCAGTACTGTTTTAGTTATCAGAACCAGGTTCCTTACCTTTGGAAACTCTTACAAATAGTAATGAAAATGTTATAAAATATTGTTAAGGACGAGCGGACAAGCTGTGTGGGTCGTGTAGTCGGTTATCACGCTAGTCTCACTCACTCGAGGTCCCCGGTTCGAACCCAGGCTCAGACATTCCAATTATTCACTTTTATTTGGACATCCTATATTTTCAACCGACAGTAGAGGGAATATAGATATAAATTGAAAATTTAGGAGTGCTCAGAACGAGATTGAAAGTTTAAGGGCAAAGTGAAACAAACCTTATAATTCAGGGGTTATTGCCACCTTTACCCCAAAGAGGAAAATTCATTTAGGAACGTGGTTTAAGAAGTTATTTCGTTCGTTCAAAAAACCAGAAGAAAAACCAGAAGAGCCAAAGTATTACAAGATGATACATACATATGTGAAACATAATCTTCCGTTGAAACAAACATGACATAACTAATAAGGTTCCCTGGTTCTCATAATTTCTATATTTACAAATCTCAACCCCGAGGCTCAATTGTAATGCATCGTACAAATGATGGAAATTGCAGGAAACTTGTCGGTCTGCAGACTCGTGGAGTTATGTTTGGGTGCCTGTATAATGTTTGTGAAGATTATTGTAGCCGACTTTCTCATCCAAGGGTCAAGGTCTAGGCTGGCCATTTTGAAACTGCGGCTCTGACTGGATCTTTCCTTTTGCAGCAAGCCGTGCATGGATTGCTCTTTCATTTGCAAGGGCCTCCTGTACATTGTTCCGAACTGAGTTGCAAAGATCATCAAGGGCTAGCATCGGAAATGGTTCCTCAATAAGAACACCCACCTGCAGAATTTGTAAAATGAACACAAGTGGCATCAGTATTCCATTTAGTTGGAAAATGGAATCGAAATTTAGGGTAGTATAAGTAGTCAAGCAGAGGTCACACATCACAGAGTAGCAGATGCGGTTCTTCCAAATCTTCTGCCACTTTCGAGAATCCAGTTTATTAATTTTCGGGAGTATGAAAGACTACAGGACTAAATATTACACAATTTGCTTCAAAGTTGGCTCCCATGTAAAAGCCGATGTTCTAGAATGAAACATACACGAATGAAGTTCTGATTAATAGTTTAATAGTGAAAGTGCGATCCAGGATGTGTCTTTCTATGGTCTAATACAAGATTAAAAGACTCAGGACGGAACTTTCAAGTTAAAAATCAGAATCCTTCTGCATCTTTCCTAATTTCATACTTACTAAACTAGATCTAACTTAAAAGTTTCATCAAAACCAATGTCGAACACCATTGCGCTCCCATTCTGTTTATACCAAGAATGACTTTCTTAACCGTATTAAAGAAACAAATACAACATATGCAGCAATAAAATGGGAAAATAGTATAAATGCTGGAAAGCAGTCAGAGAAAGGAACATACTTCTTCAATGCAGAACAAAGAAGCGGCACTGATGAAAGTAGCAGGAACCACAATCCAGTGGCAATCATCCCATAGTATGATAGGGAGAGTGAGATTCCATAGGACTAGAAACCTTGAGGTCAAGCGCGTATATGACAGAGGGATGGGAGTACCGATTAGCTGTTCACATACGCCAATTCCTTCATGGAAACAAGAGATCTTTGATTGCTGCATAATGATAAGGTAAGATACTGATTTAGTTTCTTCATCGATAGGCCATGAATGTAGCTCCACAAAACTATTTCTAACGGAAAGTTGCAGATTGTTTAAGAATGAAAATAATACTGTTTTACAGCTGCCAACTGTTTACGGTAAATTTATTCAAGAAACTATGTCAAGTAAATTTGATTGAACTTATGCACCAGAAGGATCATGAGAGGAAAAAAACATATCAAGTAGTAATCTGAGACTCTTATTAATCAAGGAAGGGAAGGGATTACCAACATATTTCTCTGTGATTCCTCCAACTTTAGCAATTGGAGGCTCCGGGAGATGAACTGAATAATGCAGCCGGGTCGATGTTTTGAGTTCAAAACAACTAGCAGATCATCTACTTCAAGCAAATCTTGGAGGTCTCGTCCAATGTCTGAGCCATAAATGACATGACACTGCAATTCAAAGTTAACATATATCATATGATTCCGTTACCAATAACAATCTGATCAAATTACAGTTTCAAGCACAAAAAAAAGAAAAGAAAAGAAACAGCATCGTGTTTTCCTTCAGCTTGGAAAAATAAACAAAACAAAGGTAAGGCTATAACTCATGTTTACTGAGCATTTCTTTACCAATTACACATTCACATCGGGCCTTCAAATAATGTAATGGTTTCCGAAGTTCTAAAACATTGATCAATGTACTAATTGGAAAACACCTTCAAAGTTAGTAAACTGGTTCTCTATTTCGGAAACCCAAGGACTCAATCGTCTAGATATTTAGTTACATGATTTCGTTGAAATCTATATCTTCAAAACACAAAGCACGAGATTACTTTCAATAATCAATTTCTGACAAAAGTACATTTCAAACCCAAATGCCACAAACCTTCAGCGCAACAGGGAAGGCCATAATATACTGCAAGAGTGCCTTCTTGAGCTGTGCATCACCCGAATTCTCAACACTAGAAATGATCTGCCTCGCGAAATCATTAGTCCCTGCAATCACCTCAGTCCAAGCCTTCCTCCCTTCTTCAAATCTTGAATACGAAGCCTCTGTCCTGAACACCAGCAACAGCGCCAATGCCGGCGCTGTGAGCTGGTACGGCAAAGATGAGGACCTCAATAACGGGAAAAACCCCGGAAGCAAATCCAACGCAACTGCTGTATTATAGCTAGCAATCACCACAGCCACCAAAGTAAAAACAATCACCGGGGGTATCAAAGACAAGATGACTCTGGACGAAAGGCTGGAAAGCAAGTGGCGGAGGTGGCGGTAGGAGCTTCTGTGCTGCATCCATTTCTCATGGTCATAAAGTGTTCTGCGCTGTCTCATTCCACGCTCTTGCGTGCGGTCTGCCCAGTCAGGTATGATCCGTAATACATTGATTAGGGTTTCAATTGGAGAGGAAGACGGTGGTGCTGACGGGTTTGGAGTCGGGGATTGTGAGCAGAGGAGCTTGAAGTTTAGGGTTTTTGGTTTGGAGGGAAAGTTTGGAAATTGTAATGGTGAGAAAGTGTTGGAGGCGGAGAAGTTGGAAGAGAGTGAGATTTTGGGGGAGGATTTGATGGGGTTTGGGGATTGCGTCAGCATTGGAGGAGCTAGGGTTTAGAGGGAGAGGGAAGAAGGAAGGGGCATGTTAGGGTTTCACGGAGTGGGAGTGGTAGTTGGAGAGGGAGGGAAGCAGTGAATGGGTTGGTAAAATAACGGTTATGTGTGAAGGAGGTTTTTACACATGTTCATATGTTAGTTGGACTGAAAATGTGATGCTTTTAGAGCTGAAGTGGGGATGCTGGTGGGACCCAACAAGAGTGACAGGCTCATCTGCACCGTCTATTGGGAGGATGGGGTCCCATGCTGGATGACCAGGCTAAATTTTGTGTGACTCTGGAGGGTGCTCACTCAACTTCTCTAGAGGGAGCAATATATACATATAGGCCCTTTAATGAAAATGTTTAGTTGTGAAATTCACTCAATATCACATTTCAACGGTCTAAACTATTTATTTTGTAAGACTTGATTCATAGATCATCCTTGCAAAAAAAAATCAGTTCAATCCGAAACCATTTGTCTATTTAATCATCACGATGAAATTTATGTGTTTTCTTATAACAAAATGTTCGTTAATTTCTTTGAACTCAATTAAATATCTCAAAATATTTTCAATTTAACTAATATTTTGCAAGAATGATTTCTGAGATGCAACTAAAAAAAAAAAAAAAAAAGTTCGCGTGGGCCCATCAAGACATGCAAAGCCTTTACCTGTATTCAGTGGATACATGTCATACATAATACCGATCATCTTAATTAAGCCTATAGGTTGCCCCTTCCCACTGAGTTCAGGCCGGAGTTTGAGTAAAACTTGCCCCCTACCAAAAATAACCCCATATAAACTTAACAAAACGGTAAAATTCTCAGACCGCCGAAATTTCTATACATAGTTAACTGCGTATTACACTAAGTATGTTCCTTTGCACCAGTAGCGCCAAGCTTCTCGATTTTGCTTTCCCGAGGTTGACTCTTTGATCCGAACATGAAGTCTTTCAAAGAACTTTCTGCAGACTCAATAGCTTTCTTAATCTGCCATCACAAACTGCTGCAATTAGACCTCAAAACAGTTATTATACAGCCAATGACAACTACTAATTACCATGACGAAATAACGAGGTATCTGAGTAGTTCATAACAGTCTAGACGGCATGGTACGTTACTAAAGTTGGGTAAAAGTTCTCTCTGCAAATGCCTTCCATGATGTGCAAAACATGATCACGTTTGTATGCATATAAACATTAAACAGTTTTGGCAACCCTGAAAGCCTACAGGTTACTCACGATCTTTATCAAATATTCTGGCTGTTACTTCAAACTTTAACCTCTTATTGATCTCCCCACAACCTCCCATCCTTCTGTGAATATATCATTCACATTATATCGCGCCACTTTTGCTAAGAAGCAGTGACTATTTTCATGACACCACCAGTTTCTATCTCCAGAAAATTGGCCACTTATCCGTTTTAGCATCGAATAGTTCTTCTAATTGAAAACAAGTCATTCCTAACCGATAAATGCTGATACTCTACATTCACGGAGGAACAAAAGGTGCTTGATATTCTACCAGACAAAGCAATTCAAGAGCATTCCCAAATCACATTTTCTCCAGCTTTTTACAATACCAACTTCGTCATGAATAATTAGATCTAAATACCAAAACATTTGTAATTAGACAGCGGTAACTACACAAGCAGAAAACTACCCGAATTCTCACTCACGTTATCATTTTGTTAATGAAAAAAATCGATGCAAAGCGAAAGCAAAATATACCCAATTAGTCCAATTACACAACCCACATTCATTCTCCAACTAGCAACTGTGAGTTATTATTTAAGTTGGGAGGGTTAAATGGGTCTATCTGTTCGATTTGGAGGTCGGATCCCCTCCCAGTGATCTAAACTATCTCCCATCCATATCCGAAGAGTGATCCTATCAGCAACAGCAAATCCATCAACCCGAAATCGAAAGCTCCCCAAAATTTGTGAACTAAAATTGCACATCCGAGAAATTAAGTTGGAACCCAAAGATTAAAATTTCATTTTCTTCCTACCCTTTTCACAACAAGATCAAAGTTTGATTTTGCGGGAAGAAAAAGGAACTTACAGGGTCGACAGCGTTGGGCTCGGAGCCGTAACCAGCAGTCAAGAGAAAATAGGAAGCAATGACTGTGGCCACCATGGTCGTCCGTCCTCCTCACCAGCCTTTCGGTTTTTGAGTTCATCGTGATCCTTTTGCTTTTGCTTTCGTTTGGATTCTCTGGAACGAAAAGGGTTTAAGATGGAGATTTTTGAGAGTTGATTTTAGAGAAAGACAGGGTTTTTCATTTTTGGGAGGCGAAGAAAGGATTTTGGAGGAAAACGGTTTTCATTATTTATATCTACATTTGCCTTAAATGTAGCAACGATCCGGCATTTTACCTCTAGTTTCGTTTTGATATCTAAATTCGCATATTAGTTTTTTTAGCCTTTGATTTTAACAATGTATTGTCACCATTAGTTTTTTTCCACCAACTCTGTCAACTTTCCCATTAAATTTGATGATATATTACGAACTTCAACTTAAAACTTCCTAATATATTCTTAAATTTAATGTGAAAAAGACGGCATTCAAAGGTCAATAGTCCAATACATTGTAAAGTTCAAGGACTAAAGAAACTAACATGTGAATTTAGGAACTAAAATTAAACTAGGATAATGTTCAGAAATCATTGCTACAATTAAACATTAAATAATAGGAAAACTAACAAAAAAGTCCAAAAAAACTTTAGTTTTAATGAAAAATGGCAAATAAATGTGTAGTGAATAGTACCAATGAAAGGTAAAAATGTGATTTTTCGTTAAAAGTGAACATTATCATTCATGAGTGTTTCTTTATAACTCCCTTAAATAAATTAGACTTTTTTTTTTTGGTATGAAAAGACCATTATACTCTTAAATTTGTCAGAAAAGAAGACATATTAGACAAAAAGACCACTCACACAATGCAAAGTAAAGTTGGAGAACGAGAGAAACTAATATAAGAGTTTAGAGACGAAACTAAACATGAGGTAACATTTGATACATCACTCTTTACCTCTTTTATTATTATTATTATTATTATTATTATTATTTTTTACTTTTGTCTTAATTTCCTTTGATAATTCATTTTGCTAAAATAACTTCTTTTTTTTTTTAACACGATAGAGTTCTTTTAGATGAGACTCTTGATAAAAACTTTGCCATAAATTTGAACTCAGAGAAAAACTTATCCCCACACCAAAACATACATAGTTTTTATTAGATAAAATATGTTTTCATTTCATTAGAAAATAATCTTACACTTTGAGTATTTATATACAAGTATATTGTAACCTCTAGACAAACAGAAGGTAACTATCAAACAGAAATCCTAACCACTAAGTAATATCTCTAGATAGTGTAGTTACAATATTATCCTTTATATTCCATCCCCCCCCCCCAACAAAATGAAGCTGAGGTACTCGAAGCTGAAGTTTGTCACAGAGATACAAAAACCTGGACTTGGAAAGAGATTTGGTACAGATGTCTGCCACCTGATCTTGAGTGCAAATGAAATGCACAGAAATCTGCTTGGCCAAAACTTTTTCCCAAATGTAGTGATAGTCGATTTCCACATGCTTGGTCCGAGCATGAAAAACGGGATTCTTAGCAAGAGATATAGCAGAAATGTTATCACACCATAGTTGAGGAGAGTTAGGCAAGGAATAACCAATGTCAACAAGCAATTTACAAATCCAGGTAAGTTCAGAAGCAATGTTTGCAAGTGATCTGTACTCGACCTCAGTGGAGGAGCAAGCGACCATTGGTTGCTTCTTAGCACTCCAACTAATTAAGGAGTTGCCCAGAAAAACACAATAACCTCCGATGGATCTTCTGTCAAGGGCACAACCGGCCCAATCAGTATTAGAAAACGATGTGGTAGTTAGAGGAGTAAAACACTTGGAGAACCATAAACCAAGATTGATGGAACCTTTAAGATACCTGAGAATGCGCTTAACATCCTAAAAATGAGAAATCATGGGGCTATGCATGAATTGGCAGACAAGGTTGACTGCAAAACTAAGATCTGGTCGTGTCCAGGTAAGGTACTGAAGAGCACCAACTAAAGAACGATACTCATTTACATTATCAAGTAAGGGAGACTCATGATCAAGTGTAAAAGTGCTAAGGGGTGTGCTGCATGGTTTAGCCCTGACCATATTTGCTTTGGATAGCAAATCCAAGAAATACTTGGTCTGAGATATAAAGATACTTAAAGAAGATCGTTTGACTTCAATGCCAAGAAAGTAATGTAGAGCTCCAAGATCTTTGATAGGAAATAAAGAACTAAGTTGTTGGATCACTTGTTTACATGCTCCAACATTAAGACCAGTGACCAAAATGTCATCCACATAGATGAGAATGAAAACCAAATCGGGAGCCTTTTTAATAAACAGAGAATGATCATTGGGAGATCTTACAAAACCAAGAGAGTGAAGAGCCCCATGGAGCTTCTCATACCAAGCTCGCAGAGCTTGTTTTAAACCATACAATGATTTGTGCAAGTGACACACATGAGAGGGCTTAGTAGAATCTTCAAAACCAGGAGGCTGGTGCATGAACACTAATTCAGATAGGCTACCATGTAAAAATGCGTTACTAACATCAAGTTGGTTTAAGAACCAATCATATTGAGCTGCAAGAGTGAGGAAAGGCCGAATAGTCACTGGTTTGGCAACATGACTAAATGTTTTTGTATAGTCAAGACCTTCCTGTTGGTTGAAACCCTTTGCAACTAACCGAGCTTTATACCTGTCGACAGTACCATCAGGTTTCCTTTTAATATGAAACACCCATTTGCATCCTACAACATTCTGTGAAGAAGATTTAGGAACAAGGGACTAGGTTCCAGCAGTGAGAAGTGCAGTGACTTCTTCCTGCATTGCTTGGCGCCAATGAGGATACTTTGAAGTTTGAAGATAGGTTGTAGGTAGACAATCCATTGAAAGATGAGAAGTTAAGGGGTGTTTAGTAGCAGTGAGGGCTTTAGGCTTGAAAATTCCATATTTGGACCTTGTTTACATTGAGTGAGTGTTAATGGGTTGGGTGGGGTTGGTGGTTATGGGTTCTGAGACTGCTACGAGAGGGATGGAAGGGATAGAGTGTAAAGATGAAGGGGAAG